GTGCGAACAGCAAAAGGTCAAATGCTGGGAACCGCATACCTTTCACAGGAACAACATGGAACCCAAAAATTTGAACGCTGACAAGTTGGGGCTTCGAAAGTCTCGGTCAGGCGCCTCGTCAACTTGAGAAACAGCATGGGCAACGTTGGTTTTCAGCCCTTCTGGCCGCGCTACCTCGCCGAGGCTTTTCTTGCCAGCTGCTCCTTGAAACTCTTCTCTACCTTGATGAAAGATGCTAGGATGAGTCACATTTCAGCTCTTTTGCTCTCTCTCTCTCTCTCTCTTATATTTATTTGCAATATACACACTCGGAAGGAGATATGTGCATGTTATGCATGTTGCATGTCCTCAAAACTCAAAAGCATGGAATATATAATGAAAACCGATGCGACTTCCCAAAGAGCTTTGGACGCAAGGAAGACAAAGTATTGGCGTAATCTGTCCACATCCACAACTGTTCCATTGCGAACTGCACTGGCAAGCCTGGAAATGACTTTGTTGCTTCCTGCACTTGTCTGGCAAGTATGTGGAAAATGCCTTGTGAACTGCTTGCAGGACCCACCACAGAATAACAAACTCATTGCTTCAGCAGACCTGTGCGCCCAAGCTCTCCCGACTTTTTTGCAATACAAAGGCTGTGGTGTGTTGGTGGTTCTTGCGTTCAGCTAGTGTTTTGCATGTGGTGCTGACTAAGACTACACAGACCTGACATCAACCCGTTATATATGGGTTGCCAGTACCGCGTTAAAACACCTTTTGACGAGGGCCCCAGCATACAATCTAAAAGTAGGTCAGGTCCCTTTCCAACCAACAGAGTTAGCTTGAAAGAGACGACTTTCCACACAGAGCCTTCCCCGAAGGCAAGGTAGCAATACCTCAAAAACTGGGACGACATTGTCTTATGCCTGTAGAATGGAACAAACCCACACGTTTTTCTTATGCAGGATACTCTTGCCCTCATGCCACTTTGTCATCACATAATCGCTGGGCTTTGAAGTGTTGGACCAGTGGTCCGTGCAAAAGGTACTAAGGACACCTAGTGACCTAGTGGACCTAGTTCAGCATCTGAATGTCAAAGCGCGACAATTTCATGGGTAACTACTGAAACTTGCACAACCATGAACTCAACTTAACTTTCACTATAGCAACACAAAACCATTCAGACAAGAGGCATTTGCTGTGGTTGTGAGCAAATGCATGGGGAACAAACCTCCAGCTCAAACAAACTCCTTGCGTTTCAAGATAGCGCCATATATTGTTTTTGACTACACAGGTCACAGGTCTGTGAGCGCCTTCTCCCCCCAAAAGGGCCATGGTCAAGATATGTCAAGATAAGCTGGCACCCACCAGCACATGTAGTTCTCTCTCCCACGGTGTTTCCATACATCGCAAGTTTTGACATGTTATGAAATGTTGCATGTGCAAGGTGCTGAGATGCTCCTTCAGCTTTGAAGGAGAGTGTGAAATGTCTCGACCACAAATCACCTCATCTATCTCACAAACTTTCCCTGACGGGTGTACCTTGATACCCTCCGCGCGAGGCTTGCTTCCCATACACTTCAGACCTGCGGCAGCGCTTCCGGTGGCCCTGCGTGTTCGGTGAGATCTTTGCGATCTCTCTGCTTTGCCGCCCTGTGAAACGTCTCTGCCTTTTTGCATCCCAGAATCTTGGCCAGAGTTCTTGCCGTTTGTAGAGTCGTGCAAAACGTCCCGCATGGTACTGGTTCTTATTGTCTCTTTGCCTGCATGGTCGCCAAGTTCCATATTTTGCTTTGTGTGTTCAAACGCTGGATCTATAGTGTAGGGTACAGGTTGTCGAGTCTTTGAAGCACGCCTGCCAGCCGCACCTGCAAATGCTCTTGTCATCTGGCTTGCAATATGACCTGATTCATGAACTTCTTCACTAATCACTGAAGGTCCACCGACAAGAAATCCTCTGCTCTTCAGATATTCATTTGATTTGTCTCTCTGTCGAAGCCACCAGGAGATCCGTGCACCAGCTGCATCATCGTGAAGGTTCCGGTGAAGCTGCTCATGCTCTTTTGACGCCCCAGCAAGTGGGAAAGCTCTTGGATCTCGCGCAGAAAAAGGACAACTGAAAACAGATCTTGAGCTCTTGGTTCTGTTGCTATCGCTTCGGAGTGAGCTGCGGCATGACCGGTGTGAAAGGGGAGTTGCCAATCTTGAACTCAGTCTGTCCACGTCCATCAATGAGTTGACATGGTTCCCATGGCATTCTCTGAGGAAAACTGAGGGCAGCGACAGTTACAATGCTATGCCATAGCTGCTATGCTTCTTGCCTGTCAGTCAATGCCATACAATACCTTTCGATTTACGGGATGTTCACGCTTCATGCATTTTTTAGATGGATTGGAAATGGAGCTGGTCCTGTCGTCGGAAAACTGTAACGCCTGCATTCACCTCGACTAGCTTTGGCAAAAAATGTATCAAGTCTGGAATACAAGCAGCAATCCGTCCCAATTCCCAGACACACAAGAATTCTGCAACACAATGAGCGTGTGCCTTCTCTTAGTTTTGCTCAAGCAGTGTTGGACCTTAGTTGCCACTTCCGTCTTTGATTCACATCTGTGAGTTGTAAGCCTTCAACCATTTGCAGTGGCCTCGCCGCAAGGGCGACTAGGATTGCTAGTGTAGAGCAGATGGAACGTTATTGGGCAAAATAAATCCTACTATATATATATATACATACACATAGTAGAACATGTTGCTGGCTATATCATCCAGCATCTATGTTGCATCACACAACACCAAGAACTCATTGGGCATACTCAGCTGCTTAGTATTTATATACTTACTGTATACGTAAACCTCGCAGTGTCCAAGAACTTCTGAAAATGTTGTGATTGGATCACAAAAACGTTGCTCCTTTCCCAAAACTCCCCGAGCTCAGCAGAATCTGGCACTTGCTAGTCTCCCTTGGTTGAACCCAATTTTGCAATCTTAAACATGACGACGTTCCTTTCTCGGACCCGTACTATTCGCTAACAAGGCTTGGTCCTTCTTGCTCGCGTCACTGCCATACGGTCCTGCAAGCAGAGTCAAGAAGCATGCCGCGAAGTTGGGGGCAAGTGAAAGAATGGCGGCTGATCACAAGAACGGCCGATTGAGTCAGGCTTTTCTTGGCTCTTCAATCACTTACTGGTAAAACGATGCAGCTGGGCCATCGAGGCCAAACGTTTGCTAGCACAGCGCAGCCAGCCATATTCAGAACTTGCTTAAAAAATTAGGCAGCCTAGCTTTGAGCCTTTCAGACTACATGGCTAGCAGTCCGAGCGAGTTCACCAAGGCGACTGACAAAAGGCCTAGCGTGGTGTCCGATGAGAAAACCCTACCATGGGAAGCACCATGGGAAGCATCCCCAGAAGTGCAGCCAAGGTTTTTTTGGAGCCTTGTTGCATTCAAGCATGTCAGACAACTGCTTTTCACGTTTGTGCCTTTAAGCAGTTGGAAAACAAAATGGCTAAGGCTGGCACGAGTGGCCCTGTCGACTGCTTCAAGCTGATTTCTTGTAACCTTGAGAGGCTGAAAACAGAAAAGGTGACGAACAGCTCTCTCGAGAGAGAGAGAAAAAGAGAAAAAAAATAAAGAACAAATACTCACCACACAACTTCCAGCTCCGGGTGTCGGGCCATCGCCTTAGCTCAGAATTGTTGCCCTTAAAACTGCGCTACAGCAAAGCGATGAGCCACTCTCCATCTGCATTGCTTGATCTACGGAAAGAGCCCTTGAGTTATCAAGAACAGGGAGAACAATGAACGGTGAGGTGAAAGTAGTGATGGCGATGAGTGCGGATGCAGCCAGGAAGCGCTTTGTCGAAGGGATTCTTGTTCCTTCCTTGCCCCAAACCAGTCATCTCACTGAGAGTAAATGCACGAACTGCCTTAGCCAGCACACTGTTCAAACTCTTGTGTGTGGCTTGTCTTTCCTGAACAAACCGACATCAGTATATAGTTTGCTTCTGTTGCTACAAGGCACCTTCACGACTTGAAACCAATGAAGGAAACTTTTGACCCACCTGTGCGCTGTTCACCTGTTACCTCGTTATGTCACTTTGGGTCTTAGTCACCCAACCCCCAAACCATGGTAAGCTCACATGTCTGGCACTCCATTCTGTTCATTTCAGAGGGGTCAACCAGGAAGTATAGGCCCTATAGGCATCACTCCCGCTCTATAAGTATTCCATAAGCATCCACATGCTGATATACTTCGCATAAATTACTGGAAACCAAAGGAAACCAGGCCAAGATCACGCCAGGAGCCCCTAGTAGCGTCTTGCACCATGAGATCATGAAATATCAGTCAGTCAATCAGTATTGAACATTGTGTGAAGCACGAGGAGCACATTAATATACATGTGGTGGAACTTGATCAAGTCAACAAGTCAAGGGATCTTCTCTCTTGAAAATTATTGAACATTCAAATACATGTCATGACACCAAGCAGGACTGGGCACTTTCTACCAGCAACCTCTCCGTTATCAGTAGCCCATTCCCTGCCTATGGGGCCTATGGGGTAAGAAAAATATTAGAAATATATAGTGAGTACTTCAATGTTATCTTGCTCTTATGTGCTCTTGCTTAGTTTCTTTACGTTGACTGTCCATACGAACGACCAGATTATCCCTCTATCCAAGGATGGGTTCCACAAGCTTAACACAGGTCGGTTACGGACTGACTCAGAGATTTCAACAAACAATCCAAAAGGATCCAAAAGGTATACTCGGTCCCAATCGAGTATGCCTGTGAGCACGTTCCAGCTCGCCTCGACACATGTGCACGGTTTGTGACGCATACAATGCTCATACATAAATCTCTCGACACACCCCTTCCGCCAGCAGTTGCCAATTAGACCAATTCATCGCAATCTAGCTACATATTACATGCCGCATGCCACCATTGTCGTTTATAGTTCTTCGACGTTCTTCGCTGTCTTGGTGGTTTATTTTATCAAGTGACTGTGGATGTTTCCCAAAACGCGCCGACTCTCGTTATCTCTCGTCCTATGGACGATTGCTTTGCCGGTGTTGTGTTCTGACAGTCGCGCAGGATTGCACAAGTATCTCGGGGGGGTTCAAATCAAGCAGGATCCCGCGGTTCTAACCCACACCCTGGCTTATGGTGATCGCTTCCAATTTCAGTTTGTTGGCTGTATATGGCTATATAGAGGGTGGCACAAACGGAATGTGTCTTCAAGGAATTTCAATTATTGCATGGCAAAGGAACTCATTCAGTTGCATAGCTACCCTGCAAATCCCACACATGCTCCTTCTAAACGAGTAAAAATAAAAGGGTGCCAGGGCATCGGATCACATGATGAATATGTGTCAATGTTTGTGACAATGATTGCATCAGCTGGCATCTATGCACCCGTAAGCCTCTCTACAACTAAGACTTGTCGAGCTGCCATTCTACGTCCGGTCAGCTTGGCAGTCCATGACCTTTGACGTCCAGTGACTTGCAAGAATAACAAAAAAGATTGAACAAGCAGCAACAAATTACACAAAGGTTGTACTGCCGCCAAGAACAGTCAACAAAACATCTGATATACCTATGCAAATGTTGCATGTTGAATAATTGAGTGTAACTCTCGGCCTGCAAAGTCTATGTAGCAACTTCCAGTTAACGGGCTGCTTTGTAAGCTCCGGTGCCAAAGCCAGGCGGCACAAAGAGCAATGGATGTAGCCATGGGCAGACCCACCCACAGTTTTCACAATTGTGGCCTGTCTAAGAAGATGTGGATGCTCATGAGCATGAGCCAAGTCAAGCTCGTTTTGTCTCTGAATGTGCGAGAGCTTTTTCTCCAGAAAAACATACAGGACATCTGACCGTAGTGAAGTCATGGGGTCCAAAGTGTCGCTTGCACGATCGCTGAGTATATCAGCCTTGGTATCGCCGCTGGCTTCACCCACTGTTCGGAACAGGCCCAAGAGTGAGCCGTCTTTTGAAAGTAGGAGTCTGTCCAGCTCCAGCACAAAGGCTTCATGATCAGCTGCAATTGTTCGAAGCGCTGCGCCAACTTCACGGTTGTAAGAATCGTGGGCTGAAGGGTCACTGGCCGGCTCCCTCCACAAGCTCGGAATGCAAACCGTGATGTGCAAATCAGCATCTTGAATGTGGGCAAAATCTGGCACCCAAGTGGGACTGTCTTCGATTTCTTCAGCTCGCGATCGGCTACCTTCACTCAGCAGGCAATTCACCAAATCCTCTCTGGCTTCAGCCAAGAGACTCCTCAGTGGCTCTTCAATCTTGATTGAGACTGCCAGCTGAGTCTTCCCCTTCTCTGTGACGAAGCCTTTCTCATAAGCACGTCTTTGTTCAATCAGTGCCCCTGGCGCTTGCACTTGTTTGGCTTTTTTCTCCCAGTCCTTGCGATAAGTCTCTACATAGTCCAATGCCTCCTCCACCTGCCTGTCATACTCTTTCACTCGCTTCTCGTTGGCTTCACCAACGCTATCGTTCCAACCAATCCCCAATCGCTCAAGGATTGAGTGTTCCATTGTGCATGAATGTATATAAAACCAATCTGCCAATCTCCCGAGAGGAAGACAAAGAAAAACAAGGTCGCAATTTACTGATCGTGCTTCTTTACTGGACGGATCTACAATGGCAAGAAGTTGTTTAGGTCAGCCGTCAGATTGCTCTCAACCCATTCTGCTGATGTCTTTGGAACATTTCTATGAGCAAAGCAGCTATTCAGGACACTTCAAAGTTCACACTTCAAAGTTGGCAAAATGCTGCAAATTGTTATGACAGTGAAGCTCTCCTTAAGCAATTAGTTAAGTCCACCAAATACATTGCACTCATCAGCAGAATCTAAGAATCTACTGTAGTCAAAATGGAGTAAATGAAGGAACGCGTGTCCTCACATGGTTGCCCTCTGTCTTTTCGAACAAATTCCAAGAGAGACTGTCCTGTGCCTCACTGTGCTGGACCTGGGAGAGTTTGAGTCGGATGTCTGCTCTCAATTATAGCAACTATGGGAACTATGGCAATGCCAACTATGTGTTCAAGAGATTGAGAGGCACAAAGTACCCCCTGCCAGGCAAAGTACCAGACTGCTCAAGCGGACTCAAGCGGAGTTGCATTCGCAAAAGGAGCTTAAACTGGGAACACGATCGACTTGCATCAAATTGCAGCTCCTGTTTCTGCGCAGATCAATATAATCATTTTAGACACCCCTGGTCTTGCATGTCTCAACATGGTGCACATTCCGTGGAGCTTAGTTGCTTGGTTTTTGTTAGTGTCTATCCTATCTCTCTTTGGCATGAGAATGTGGAGACGCAGGGATCCCAGGTTTCTACAGAACAGCAGCCCTTCAGATCCCTTCTGTGCAGGTCTTACTTTTGCAATGATATCAAGTGTTCAGTGAGTATATTAAGCATATAACATGACATAGTATATATTTACTATACTGTATATGTTTTCCCCGGAGCTGTGCTTTGGGCGCAAAGCTTGCTGCCGAAATGACCGACAAATTTATCGCATGGCGGCACTCCCACCTGACCCCAACTTCGCGTCGCGAGGAAATCGGGCAACATTTTTTTCAGCCCTAAAACATGTTTTTTCAACCCTAACCTTTTTTTTCAACCCTGCAACATTTCTTTTTGACCCTCGAACATTGTTTTTTGACCCTGTCACATTCTTTTTTAACCCTTGTATATGCTTTTTCGACCCTGGACCCTTCTTTTTCAACCCCGTCCATTTGGGCCCACCAGACTTTCCCGCAGCTCGAAGCGCCTCTTTCACTCTTGACGGGTCGTCGTCGAGCAGACTGCCCGCTTACAAGCTCTGGGCCGTTGGGGGCCCAATCTGGGGCCTGCAATGGTCCGGTTGGGTGTTGGAAGCTACATAGGGACCCTTCGAGTTCCTCCATTCCATGTCAGATTGCTCATTGGCGCGCCCAACCAACTGGAGGAAACTATGGAGGATGAAACTGATTGGAAAAACAGATTCTCCAAGAAACGTCAATCATGCCCTCTTAGACATGAAACAAGAAGTCAATGTTAATGTCTTCAAACCAACGTCAACCGCGGCGTGTGGAGATCTGCGGGTCGGACTTGAAGGGAATCACCAACCCAAAGCTGAGAACTCATTGGATGAGGTCCCTGAATCGACAGCTATGTATCCATGTTAATGCAGTAAATGTATGTTGTGGAGAAAAGGGTCGTCACTCCTTCCACAGATGCAATGGGGAATAGTTCTTTTCTTTATGCTAACGGTTCCTTTTTTTATGCTGGATTTGGGTGGGTTCTTTTTTTTATGCTAACGGTCTTTTTTTATGCTGAGGGTTCTTACTTTTATGCTGAGGGTTCTTATTTTTATGCTAACGAATGTAATTGTCGCGGGGCTTTGTTGGAAAATGTAATTGTCGCGGGGCCTTAGTGGAGAATGTAATTGTCGCGGGGCTTAGTGAAGAATGTTATTGTCGCGGGGCTTTATTGGAGGGGCGGCGGCTCATCTGCGCACACAGATTTGACGCATCTGCGCACACACATTTTGTTAGCACTTGCGCCTCATCTGCGCACACAGATTTGACTCATGCGCGCACACAGTCCATCGGGGAGACTCAAGTGCGCACACACGCCCTTTCCCGCATGTTTGCTCACTTAAAAGGGTCGTCAAGATGGAATGGCCACTTCCTCCTCTACATTTTACCCTCCAGTGGCTCACCAAAGGGTGAGTCAACTTGGAATGACCACTTCCTTCTC